ATAGAAAATCATCTAATGAAAGGTATCACGCTTTGGAAAGTATATCAGAGGTAAACTGACCTAAAATGGATGTTTTTCTAATCCAGGAATATTAGGGAATATAAGAAGACTTTAGGATGCACTGAATAAAATCTTCATAGAAGAAGATTTTACGAACTTTTTGGGAAATTAATAAGAACTTGTTATTTTGATTTTGGCTTGGTTTGGGTACCACACGCAGCAGTTCTTCAGTGCTACTCCTGGCCCTGTGCTCAGAAGTTATCCCTGGTGATATTTGGAACCATATATAGTACAGGGGATTCAACTCAGAGTCATGGCCATCACAACTTCACAAAAGGAAATTGTAGTGCAAGCACCTCTTGTAACATCTTTTCAACCCCAATTAATGAGACTTTGGAGGCGAGGGAGAATATCACAGTAAGAAACTCCAGGAATCTGTTCCCCTCCTAGATAGCAATTGAATTAGCATGGTATGTCTGATATTTTAGAACCATTTTCTGTGGGAGATGGGGCGTACCCAGTGGTTCTCAGGACTTATTCCTGTTTCTGTACTTAGGGATCACTCCTGGTGGGCCTTGGGAGAACATTTTTGAAGCCACGATCAGACCAGAATTTGCCACATGCAAGGCAAATGTCCCACCCTAACTTTTGTACTATCTCTCCAACCTCAAATGTTTGGGAACTCTGAATCCACTGAAAGCTTGAAGTTTGAAATTCTTAGGGGATGGTAAAAAAATTTTTGAGCCATCAGAAGAAAGAATCAGTAAATCTGAACATAGCACATCATAACCCAAGGAACACAAAAGAGATTGAAGATAGTGAACAGAAACTCTGGAACCCATGGGATAGCATCAAGTAGACCTACATACATGACAGTGGACAAGAAAAGAGGAAGACAAAGAGGCAGAGGATATATTTGAAGAATAATAATCCCAAGACACATAAGGTTAGCGAAAGATATTAATTTAAAATTCTAGGAAGCTCGACAAAACCAAATAGGATGAGCCAAACAAGAGCAAAATTATAATCAAACTGTCAAAACTCAAAGACAGTGAACATGTTGGAAACAGTGAGAAAAGTGACTCATCACATATGGGAGAGATTCAGTCAATTTTCAGCAGATATCTCATCAGAAATACAGTAACTTGAAATTATAGGGAGAAATAAAGATCTTAATAAAGATAAATATTTATCATGGGCCTTGATAAAAATTCAGGTTTTTTTTTAAGTGTGTGTTGGTGGGGGGAGACTGTGGGAGGAACTGGACCACACCCAGTATGCTCAGAACATACTCCTGGCTCTGTGCTCAAGGATCACTCCCGACAGTGCTCAGGTGATCATTTGCAGGTGCCAAGGATCAAAGCAGGGTCAGCCATGTTCTTGGAAAATGACCTATCCACTGTACTGTCTCTCTAGTCTGCTAGTATTATTTTTGCAATGCTTTATTACAAATATCTTCACTCTCTCTTTATACATTTTGTCCAAAAAAAAATGCACTTCTAAAATGTATTAGCTTAGAGGCCAGAGAGATGACTCAAAGGGCTGGAGTACACTGAAGTTGAATTGGAATAAATACGAATTTGCATTTTATAAGTTTTGATTATTAAATGTAACCCCTACAATAATTCCAAATAATATAAAAGAAACTAAGAAATTAACGTGAACATTTCATATTAAAGAAACCAAGTAAACCCTAAAGAAGACAGCAATGTGAGAAATGAGGAACCAAACATGCTCTAAAGCACTTAGAAAACAAATAACAAACTGAAACAAGCAACTGCCTCATTAGACAGCTTTAAGAAGGAAGAAAACTCTGACATATGCTACTAATTGGATGCAACATGAGTGAAATAAGCCAGTTACAAAGGGACAGAAATTGTATAATTTCACTTGTATGAAGTACTTAGAGTAATCAAAATCATAAAGCCCTGCTTGCCTTATGGAACTGGAATGACAGAGAATGGAAGATTATCGTTTAAGAGCAGGATTTTCATTTCACAGGACAAGGCATTCTAGAGGGAATGGGCAGTGATGGGGTCACAGCAGTGTTACTCTATCACTGTATCACTATCATCCTGTTGTTCATTGATTTGCTCAAGCGGGCACCAATAACGTCTCCATTCATTCCTGTCGCATGATAGTGTAGCCCGATGGCGTAATGGGGACTCTTTCATGGTCAGAGGAATGAGGCCCATTATTGTTACTGTTTTTGGCATATAAAGTATGTCACAGGTAGCTTTCCAGGTCACCTCACCCTAAACTATACACGTAAAACAGTTACTATAGTGGTTGGGAACGTTCGTACAACATACAGTAAATTGCATGTTGTGTGTATTTTAGAGTAAAAAATATTGAAAAGTGGGGAGAGGCTATGGATTGTGCAGTGGTGAAAGCTCCTACCTTGCAAACATGAGGCCACAAGTTTCATCCTTAGCACCATTCACATCCGTCACTCACATTCTGGCAGTTAAGGACCCCTAGAAATATGTGCTCACTTGTGCACTGCAGCCAGGGATATGCTAGCACCACAACTAAAGATTTAACCCACTGCTGGGGCTGAAGCAATAGCACAGTGGGTAGGGTGTCTGCCTTGCACACAGTCGACCCGGGTTCGATTCCCAGCATCCCATATGGTCCCCTGAGCACCGCCAGGAGTGATTCCTGAGTGCAGAGCCAGGAGTAACCCCTGTGCATCGCCGGGTGTGACCCAAAAACTAAAAAAAAAAGATTTAACCCACTGCAGCTAAAAAAGATGTGTGAGGGGGCTCAAGAGAGAGTGCAATACACATGTTTGCCTTGCAGGTTTGATTCCTAGTTTCCCATATGGTCCCCCGAGCCCCTGCCAAGAATGATACCCAAGCGCAGAGCCAAGAGTAAGACCTGAGCACTGTTGGGTGTGACTCAAAAACAAAAACCAAACAAGTTAAAAAGATGTATGAGAGAGGCTGGAGCAACAGCACAGCGGGTATGGCATTTACCTTGCACGCAGCCGACCCGGGTTCGATTCCCAACATCCCATATGGTCCCCGAGCACCACCAGGAGTGATTCCTGAGTGCAAAGCCAGGAGTAACCCTGAGCGTCGCTGGGTGTGACCCAAAAAGAAAAAAAAAAGATATATGAGAATTGGACCCTGGCAAGCACTCCTTCCAGAGCATGTGTGAGAACCTCAACTAAAGGGTACAAGCTGAGTGAGTGCCACAACCAAGATTGTGTCTAATTGCCATCAGTGCAACAACAGCATGACCAGATGTGGCCCAAAACCATATAAATTAAATACAACCTACCAGCTCAAAATAATAAAAAGTGTGTTAAAAATGAAAAAGAATGTTTGACATTATAAAAATAGAACAATATCTTTCATATTCAAAAATGTTTCATAATCATTATCCTATGTAGTTTTTTTTAATTTAATATGCAGTCATACATTTAGGAATTTCATAATAAAGTCATAGCAAAGCCTGTTTTTTGGTGTTGCTGCGAAGTATAAATTACCCCTCCCACACTCTACCCTTTTAAACACAGAAGGAAACGAAAATACACCAACTCATAATAGGTAAAATAAGATGATCTGACATAAGTAAGTTATGTTGTCAAAAGCTAGGATCTAAAATTACTGTTGAAATACTTTAAAATCTTGATTTTTTTAGAACCAGGAAAGCTTTATCATGTCTGGGGAAACAGGTAAATTTAAGAGGAAAAGCATATAATATTTTCATATCAATGAGGTATCAAATGCTATGAAATTTGGCTCTATTTCTCAGGATTTTCTCAGTATCATGAGGGATGGGGAAGAAAGCAGCTATTCTAGTTCCCAGACTTCCTGGCATTAATTTCAGTACTTTTTACCCTACCTGTCCCTGGGGTTGAAGTCTGTGAAAACATCAATACTTCACATAATTTCATTTTTCTAATAGAGTTGAAATTGTGATTACTCTACCTTTGGCTGATTTTGAAATCCTGTTGGGTTTCTCATGACATGGAGCATCTTAATTTTTATTTTTCCATTTAGTAAGTCCTTCTCACTCATTCTTGAAAACATGCCCAAGTCTGTTTATCTTTTTCTCCATTTCCTTGCCTGCCACCAAAGTCCAGCTCGTCATCATCATTATCTGGACCTAGTGCAACAGCGTTCTCTTTTTTTTCTCCTACTTCTTTTTGGTTCACCTCTAATGGTGTTTCGGGGACCACGTGGTTCCAAGGTTTGAACCTGGGGCTCCTCCATGCAAACCTTGTGTAAAGTAATAGCATTCTAGCTTGTGTTCCCGATTCATTCTATCTTTTGCCCTTTTCAACGTCTTTTCTATCCAGCATCTCATTGGATCACACAAGGCCCCAGGTAAAAGTCCCCCCAAACTTCCCACTGCCCAGTTCCTAACCTGGTTTCTCTCCTGCTCAACCTTCTCTATTGTGCTCTAACCACCTCCTCCTGTGTCTGTTACTGAACCAAACCAACTTGTAACTTGTACTTGTCTTTCATTTGTCTTCTTCTGGGCCTGAATCATTTGTGTGCCGCTTCCTTCATGTCATTCAGGTCTCCTCTTAATGTTACTGGCTCAAAAAAAAAAAAAAAACCTTCGGTCAAAAGTAACACTCTTGCATTCAGTGTCCATGATCACACCATGTTTGACTGTCTCCATGACACCTGCCATGCTCTCCAATTAACTCTATCCATTTCTGTGTGTCTGTTGAATTTCCTGCCTCTACTAAGACCTCTGCAAGAGAGCATTCTTTGGCTTTCATTGACAGCTACTTTGACAGCACATAGAGCATGCTGAAATGCTAGAGAAATTCAAAAATCATTTGCTGAATACCTAAGTGGAAACCAAGTTTAATTCTGTTTTCAAGACGGAGCATCTCTATATTCCGTACTTTTTCCTCTGGAGGAGCCCACATTTTCTCTTCAACACCCGGCTCGCTCGCTCTCTTCTCTAACATTTCTCTAAGTAAATTTCTTTAAATAAAACTAATTTACTTTGCTCAAAATAAGAGAGATCTTTTCAAAAATATGGCATACTTGACAAATTTGTGTGTCATTCTTGTGCAGGTGCCATGCTAATCTCTGTAATCATTCCAATTTTAGTATGTATGCAGCCAACGTGAATACAGGAAATTTTTTCAGAAGCATTTTATAGGGGCCTGAAAGATAGTTCATCAAGTAAGGCACTTACTTTGCATGCAGCCCAGTTATCTTTTGCACTGCTTATGGTCCCCTGAGCAACATCAGGAGTGATCCCTGAGCACAGAGCCAAGAGTAAGCAAAAATAATAACAAACAAAAAATAGAAGAAAGACTTGAAAGAAAAAAATATAGCGGTCAAGAGAGTTTAAGTGATAGAACACAAGCTCTGAGTTCAGTTCCTGACACCACATGGTTCACTGAGGTCTGCTAGGTATGGCTTCCATAAAAAAAAATTAAGAAAAGGGAAAAAAAATATAAAATTCAATCCAAATAGTCCCAACAGGCAAATAATCCAAAAATAGTTTGTTAAGTTTAAAAATAATAAGAATGTTTTTCACTACAGGTTAGATTGACGAGTTGTATTTTTGCATAGGTTAGTATCCATATACTCTTCATATAGATTCAACAATTGTGACATTTTGCTTACTCTCATACACTTATACCACACACACACACACACACACACACACTATCTTAAATTATGTGAGATGACTATAAAGTGGTAATTTATTTTTTATTTCCTCCCTATTTATTAGTTGGTATTCTTTATAACCAACAAATTGTTGGTGGGAGCATATGGAAGCAGATTTATATTAACAATGGCATGGAATCACATAGTCTGGAAGCAACCTTTTTCATGTAGTCCCCAAAATGTGTGAGGCACAAATCCCCGAATACTAAAATTTACTGCTGTCAGAAAAACCTAAAGTCTGAAATACTAATTTTTATTCTTTCAGCATAAAAAGTATAAAAATGACTGGGATTGCTATGGTAATTATCACTGGGATATCTGGTCCAGACACATCTTAAGCTATTTTATTATTAACATTAAATTAAAAGGGGAAGAAATTACATTGGAGACTAATATTAAATTTTAAAGGGAGGAAATTATATTTGGGAATATTTGTTAGAGCTGTAAGAAACATTTTGAAATGGAAAGAAAGCTTATTTTAAATATGTAAACAGAGGTTGGAGCAACAGCACAGCGGGTAGGGCATTTGCCTTGCAAGCAGCCGACCCGGGTTCGAGTCCCAGGATCCCATATGGTCCCCTGAGCACCGCCAGGAGTGATTCCTGAGTGCAGAGACAGGAGTGACCTCTGTGCATTGCCAGGTGTGACCTCCCAAAAAGCAAAAAAATAAAAAATAAAAAAATATGTAAACATTTAAAATTTTAATTTTCAAAGAAGAAATGGAAATTGAAAGAAGGATTTGGGGAAAAAAATTAAAAGTCAACATTTCATAACTAACACTAATGCTGATGCATTGAGGTATTAATGCCAATCCAAATGGTCCCAACAGGCAAATAATCCAAAAATAATTTGTTGAGTTTAAAAATAATAAGAATGTTTTTCATTACAGGTTAGATTGATGAGTTGTATTTTTGCATATATGTATATGTATATATATAAAGGCTTCTTTTAAAGATATTAGAATTACATGTGTGCAATAGTCACATAATTGAATTGAATTATGTGAATTTGACTTGCTTAACTAGTTAGAGCTTCTTCAACAGTTCTAAAAGGGCTTCACTCATTTATCAACCAAGAGTGGTGTTCCTCTTCATGTCGGCTACTTAGCAGGCACTGGGAGTTCCCAGGTGAATAGCATGGTTATCTGTCATTAAGTGCCATCAAACTCCTAGTTCTAAGGGTCTCCCTAAGATAGCAGAAGAGGTAGAGGTGAGAAGAGAAAAGGATGCTTTTAAAGAGGGGGAGCTAAGGAACAAATAGTCTAGACAAATATAAGATTAGAAGAAAATGCAGATGAACCTGAGAGGTCCGTGGGAAGTCTTGGATGAGGATGCAAGCAGAGCTACCTCTCACAACTTCTTCATCAGAGACACTTGAAGCCAGAACTGAAATCCAGATCCAATTTCACTTGTCAAACTGTACAACAACTTGGATACAGGATGCTGGGGAGGAGTTTATCTGCCACCCAAAAAGGGTAACTTTCTCACCAAAGCTTAGGCTATCATGTCCCTGAATCCAATGTTGTACTTAGAGAGAGAGAGAGAGAGAGAGAGAGAGAGAGAGAGAGAGAGAGAGAGAGAGAGAGAGAGAGAGAGAGAGGTGGCAGTTGATGGCGCTCATCCCATGCACTAATTAGAATCTTAAATTATTTTCTTAGTAAGCACAGAATTCAAGGATATATTTCTGGGCTAAAGGGATAGTAGGGCTGAGGCACTTGCCTTGCACGTAGCCAACACTGATTTGATTCTCAGCACCACATTTGGTCCTCTGAGCACTGCCAGAAGTGACCCCTGAGCACAGACCTGAGCTCTGTATCTGGTGGATGTGATTCCAACCCCCCCATCAAAAACCAAACAAAAATTAAGAGTATATTTATGAGACTTATAGGTGTATACCTCTTGAGTTTATAATAAGATATAATTATAGATATTTTATTTGTTTGTTTGGGGGCCATACCTAGCAGTGCTCAGGGCTTATTCCTTGCTCTGCATTCAGGAATCCTCATTAGGGCACTCATGGGATTCCAGGGATCAAATACATGTCAGCTCCATGCAAGCAATTGTACTACCCACTGTACCATTGCTTCAGCCCTAGAATTACATTGTTACAACCATGATTTTACTTGAGAAAAACATTAAGTTTCGATGTATACCATGTTTTTTTCTATTTGAGCAAGATTATCTTCTTTAGTTTTGTTTTACTTTTGGAGCAACACCCAGAGGTACCCAGGATTTACTCCAGCTTTGTGTGAATGGTCACTTCTGGCAGTGCTGGGAGACTGTATGTGTACCAGCAATTGAACCCAAGTTAGCCATGTGCAAGGTAAGTGGCTGATCTACTTCACTGTCTCTCCAGATCACGTTATCATCTGATTGTCTCAAATCTTAAAATTTATGGTTCCACGTAGGATAGGGGAAATCAGCTTAACCATTTCAATCATAGAGTACTGGTGTGGAGCTTAAAGTCCACTTCATTTTTACTTGATTTTAATTTCCTGGGAAACACCTGGAAGCAGTCTTCATACTGAAAGAAAGCAACTGTGGGTGCTCATAATTTTTTGAACCTAAAATAGGAAACATTGAATGGGTATGCATTTTATTAAACCTAGAATTTAATAGATTTTGGCAAACCAATCTAAGACAGTATTTTTTTATTCCTTAAGTCAAGATTTATTCAGTCTTCATTGTGGAATTAAGCAGAGATTTGTGGAGTTCTTCAGATAATGGGAAGGAGAAAGCGCTATTTCTGCATTCAAAGGGATAAGGTTATTTTGACATTTAAATATTTCTTTTCAGAAAGTTTATAGCAATACCAATATGGATACAATATGAGCAGGTCGGGGTTGTAGTGATAGTACAGTGGGCAGGGGATTTGTTTGCTCTGCATACGGTCAACCCAGGTTCAATTTCCATCATCCCATACAGTCCCCTGTGCACCACCAGGAGTAATTCCTGTGTGCAGAACCAGGAGTAACTCCTGAGCATCGTCTGATGTAACCCCCCCCAAAAAAATACTTTTAGGACCATAGAGATAGAACAGTGGGTAGGGTGTTTGCCTTGCACATGGCCAACCCAGGCTCAATCCCCAGCATTCCATATAGTCCCCCATGCATCTCCAGGAGTAACCCTTGAGCGTTGCCAGGTGGGACCCAAAATGCCAAAAAATTTATTTTTTTAAAGAATATGGGCAGGTCAACAGGCAAATGAAAAAGTGCTCATCATCACTGATTATCAGGGGAATGCAATCAAAACAACAATGAGATATCACTTCACACCAGTGAGAATGAACTGTATCCAAAGCTTAGAAACAAGTGATGTTAGGGAGAAGAAAAAAGAAGCCACAACAGTTGTGAGACTATACACTGGTTCAGGCTCTAAGGATAACAGTCCTGGGATTTATTAAAAAAAATTAGCGGAGTTTATGCACAATTCAATCAGCCTAATCAGTGGCTGAATAAATAGCAGTACTCCTACATAACAAAATAAATTAAAAGTAGGAGATAGAGAAAGAGTACGGTGGGTGAGGCACTTACTTGCCTTGCATGTGGCGGACCTGGTTATAATGTCTGGTGCTGCATATCGTTCCTTGAGCCCCACAGGAATGGCCCCTGAGTACAGAGCCAGGAGTAACCCCCGAGCACTGCCAGGAATGGTCTCAAGACAAAATAAACAAAAAAAAATTTTAAATATGATGGGGCTGGAGAGATAGTACAGCAGGTAGAGCACTTTCCTTGCATGAGGCCAACTCCGTTTCAATCCTTGTCATCCCATATTGTTGCCAGAGTGATTCCTGAGTGAAGATACAGGAGCAACCTCCGAGCATTGCTGGGAGTGGGGGTGGGGGAACCTGGCTATGATCAGCATTTACTACTGGCTCTGAACTCAGAGATTTCTCCTGGTAGTGATCAGGAGACCAGGTGGGTCCAAGTGCCAAGGAATCAAATCCAGATTGTCCACATGCAAGGTAGGTGCCTTCCCCACTGTCCTATCTCTCTAACTCCACATTTTACTTTTTTTTTTTCTTGAAACAGTATCTGAATGCATAGGAATGACGACTGGTAGTGATTCAATAAATAAATATAAGGAAAAATAAAACACACACACACACACACACACACACACACACACACACACACACACAAGGAATGACTACTGGTGAGGAGCTCCGTAAATTTGATGGGTCTTGGGGCAGGGCAGGGGGGGTCTTCCAAATATAAAAGACAGCATTGTTTAAAAAACAACTTAATTCAAAAGTGGATTAAATCTTTGTAAAGCTTGGAAGAGCTTCTGATAGCTTGCTTGCCAAAACCTAGGAGCAGATGGTTGGATCTCCACCTCTGTAGGATCCTCTGTTTCAACAAGTCCGGTCCAGTCTTCCATAGTTCCAGTTTCTTTCCTTTGCTTTGTAACCAAGGTTTATGTTACTTGCCCAAGGTGGCATGACTAGTGAGTA